TAACTATTATATATTTTTAACTAAAAGTTTTTAATAAATAACAAATAAGTACTCATATTTAAAAGATTTCAACAAAAAAAAAATCAATAATAAGTATAAAACTAAATTTAAACTATATAAGAGGGTGTTTGGTAGGAATTTTTATGTGAAAAATGCATTTTTGAATAGTAAATTGATGGGAAATGTGTGGTTGAAAAATAAGAAAAAGTTTTTGATTTACGTGTAATATTATTTTAATAAAGAATGTGGTTGAAAAGAAGAGAGAGAAAAATGCATTTTGAAAAAAATGGGTGTCAAACAGGGTCTAAATGAAGAATTTTAAAAATTTAATGAACGTGTTGACGACGTGTCGTGTCGTGTCGGTACTTTTTTGAAAAACGACGAGTTGACGTATCCGACACGTATCGTGTCGGACACACGTGTCCATGTCGGTGCTTCATAGATTTTTAATTTTTTGTTTTGAGTGTCTATTTAAAGATTGCTAAAATGTGTTTGGTTTGTCATTTTGTAAAACTGTTTCTCAAATAGAAAATTAGAAAAAACATGTTCGGTTAGAAATTTTTAAAAATTATTTTATGATATTTTATTCCATGAAATTTGATTATTTAGTAAAATAGAATAATTTTATGTTAATATATTATCAAAAAATATATAAGCATTTTTAAAGTTGGTGCATCTTATACTACCAAAGAATATACTATCAAACCAAAGACTAGAAATGAGAGTTTTTAAGATATTTCATTTCTCCAGTCTAGAAGAAACAAATTATAAAAAGCATACAAAAAAGGGCCTTTAAGTAACTGATGTTTGTGTCCTTTCAGCTTGATAATTCTTTGCTGATTGAAGCTTAATCGCTTGATTGTGGACCATATGGTTTCAGTCTCACTTAACGAGTTTCTTTCGGGCCTATCCCATTTTTCTGAGTTAGTCGATCATTTTGAGTCCCTATCCATAATGTTGCATTTTTGACAAACGGTTGCTTCTACAACACCATGAGAAGATGTAGTTTTAGGTGCCAAGTTATCATTGTAACTAGATTTATAGACAAACAATTTAGTGAAAAGATACTACTTATCTGATAGATGGACCATGGAGGATTCTCTTTAGAGGGACTAGAGATCGTACTATACAAAAGGAAAGTTCAAATAAATTCAACCAATTCTCCCAAATGGTATCGGGAGATGCATCCTTTCTATAAATCTTGCAAGATATTTAATTTTCTCAAGGTTTTATCTATAGTAGTCACCTGTCATTTTAATTTCAACTTTAAACACATCCAGGTGATGGTGTACTAATTCTGCAAAAGTTGCAATATTGCCAACCCTTGGCAAGTAAGAACAGCTTTGAGAAACTTATACTTATATCAGTCCCACGTTGAAGAAATTGATATTATAGCTACCACTGGCATTGAAATTGTCTAATGTCAATCTTGTCTGCTTTTCTCTTAGGCCCAGTCCATTGACCCATTTGGGGGTTGTGAAGTTGATACCAGTTATAGGATAGTTGGAAAACACTATTATCCATAACGAGGTACTACTGGATTATTTGTGGTTGAATTGCATGTTACCATATATGCGCTCAACTTATGCAGTAAAATATTGAAGAAGTTGTAGTTATTACATGAAGGAAATAGTTAAGTATAGGAAGCAAGTCTAGCTGGATGGAAACTACCATGCTTACCATTTGTCACGTGCCTCAGGGTGTGTGCCAATTATGGCGAAAATGATAGTGTTAAAGTATTTCACTAAAGGTTTAATTAGCCAGGCTGGTTCTAGCTAAGAACTCGCTCCAAGTCGGGATTGTAGGAAGTGTGAATCAAGTGCATTTGAAATTGATAATATTTTTGCACAGGGAGGATGGCCACAGATTAATCCCCAAAGTTGAGGGTTTTTAGCTGAATCATTTTAAGTTCCACTTAGTTATAGACTTAAACGTTCATCCTCAGCTGAGTAGTCATAACTTTGTTGATCATTCCTTTGTAAATTTTCTTGTTAGATATTAAATTATAAGCATTCTTATAAGAATTTGAAAACTGATGTACCTCCCAAAAATAAATCTAGACTGTAATGCTTGACAGATTATTTATTGGACGATTAAGTGTTAGACCCCTAGAGCACGTTAATAATTCCATTTAGCTAGCTAAAGTAGGGGAAGGGCTAGTTTGGGAAGTTTATGTAATAAATCAAGTAGGAGTTAATAAATGCAAGGGATGGGTGGCTTTGTTGATACACAGATCGAGAATTAGAGAGTGGGAGAGTGCTTGCCTCTCTAATGCAGTGCACCTATCTTTAATCTTCTTGCTATCATTTCATTGTAACTTTTTATTTAAACGTATACAAAAGCAAAAAAATACAGCAATTGCATTGAGGTTCCTATACATAACCTTCAGGCTAATATTAAGAGCTTGTTTGATGCTCTTTTTTTGCAAAAAATGTAATTTGTAATAGTGATTTAATAGAGAATGTGTGGTTAAAAAATGTTGAAAAATTTTGGGTTTGCGTGTAATATTATTTTACTGAATAATGTGAGATTGAAAAGAAAAGAGAGAAAAATGTATTTTGAAAAAATGGGAATCAAACAAGGCCTAAATAGAATATGGTGCAATTACATTCTTTGTGTTGACTCGTAGCAAATAATTGATTTGTGTGAGACCTTTGTTGCACGGATATTTCAACTAGGTGTAAGACGTTGTGTTGGATACCGACAATCCTTAAGAACTCTATTACTGTCATTTTTCTTTCTTTGAACGTGATAATATATAGTTTTAACTCAAAATTATCATAATATATCAAATAAATACTCTTATTTAAAATATTTCAACAAGAGAACTTAGTAATAAGTATAAAACCTATATAAATGAAGAATTCCAAAGAATTTAATCTTTGTATCATGTCCATACATTTTTTTTTTAAATTGCGTATTTGACACACGTGCATGTTGGTGCATCATAGTCTGAGACTCATGGACTTCATGAGAAAATGAGTGAGAATTGAGCCCTTCATTGTTTTAACTCTATTGTAACATATTATTTGTTATGCGAATACTTATTTGATGATAATTTACTGTCCTCATGGATTTGTCTTGTTAAGCTATGTGATCAGTTCCTATGTGGACCTTATATAGCAGTGCCTACACTATTTATATTATTGAAGGCAAGATTTAAGTGATAAACTTGTGACCTTATCTAATAGTTTTTAGATCAAGTAGTTCAATATGGTATGAAAAACATACAAATGTTCTAGGTTCAAGTCTCGTCGCCCCTAATTTAATGAAATTGTGAATGCTTCATGATTTGAAGGAAAAAAATAAACACCCGAGGAAGCGCGTTGATGGAAAAATTTAAATGATATACCTGTAGTCCCTTTTGACAGCTTAAGCTTTTGGATACACTGATTCAACATAACACTAAGAACAATTAAATATTTGTTATATTACTCGTCCAGTAAATGTGCGATGAGTATTCTGATCTTCACATGAGCTATGCACATCTTTTGAAATTGCTGAACAATCACTAGCCTGTGATGCACAGTCCAGTAGCTATAGTCCTGCAAAGATGATTATAAGGTGAAAAATGTTTGGCTTGGGGGGTGGGAGACGAGGCTGTTGTAGGAGTATAGTGGATATGTGAACACGTGATGGGGTAGAGAAGAGCCTGGGAATAACAGTGTATTTGAGGTGGGGTAATTTTCTTTCCCATTGCCGTCACTTGTGTCTGTGGTCATACTGTTGCTGTGCCAATAATACTATGCCCCTGTTTGGCCCGCCTCTTTTAAAACTCTTTTTCTTAAACTCATTTTCAACCACACACTTCATGAGACTCATAACTTCACTCAACTTTACCATACATTTTATCAACTTTTATAAAAATCTAAGTTAGCAAACCCAAAAAGGGGTTATGTATTACTTGGCAATATAATTGATGTTTTCTGGAAATTTCAGGAAACATAATGGGTTTTAAGTTATGATATTTTATCCTTTTTCAAATACTCTTCCACAAATCCGTGAATAAAATTTTCTCAGTATGGTTGCTCAGATCCTTAGATCCTTAACGNTTTATCCTTTTTCAAATACTCTTCCACAAATCCGTGAATAAAATTTTCTCAGTATGGTTGCTCAGATCCTTAGATCCTTAACGCGGAAATATTGAGGCTAGTAAGCAGCAATAAATCTGAATGTCTGATGATGTTTTTATGTATTTCCTTCTGTTGCATTTCATTTTTTTATTCCCATCAGAACGTCGGAACTTGATATTTGGTATTCTTTTCTTTTCTTCTACTCCCATTAGTTTTTCTACTCCATTTTTATGCATCTTTTTTAATGATGTGCTATTTACTGTATTTTGGTCTGGATTTGCAGGGAAATGATACAGCATAGGCCTTATACCCAGAAAGTTGATGTGTATAGCTTTGGGATTGTGCTGTGGGAGCTTATCACAGGGTTGCTTCCGTTCCAGAATATGACTGCTGTTCAGGCTGCATTTGCTGTTGTCAACAAAGGCGTCCGTCCCAGTATCCCCAATGACTGCCTTCCAGTTCTCAGTGAGATCATGACCCGTTGCTGGGATGCTAATCCCGACGTTAGGCCCTCCTTCAGTGAGGTAGTCAGAATGCTTGAGCATGCAGAGACTGAAATCATGACAACTGTCAGAAAGGCTCGTTTCAGGTGCTGCTTGACTCAACCAATGACTACAGATTGATCATTGATGCAGGGATAAGATTTTAGTAGCAGGAAGAAGAGAGTAAAAAATTGCTAAGGAAAAGAGGGGGAAAAAAAAGAAAGGAAAACCAAAAATTGATTTCATGTCAGCCTTGTGTATGTATCAGACTTAATTTATTTCTTGAGATAGAAAAGGGGGAGGAAACTGTGATAAGAACCGCTTGTTTTGTGTATTTCTTTTTAAAATTTGTGGATTTTAAGAATTGAATTAGTGGTAATAGAGGAGATTTGATGTGTATTTTACTTGCCCTTGGTGCCATATCTAAATCTTCCTTATTTCTTAGTTTTCCAGTGGCACCATTTCTATAAACAATTTCAGGAAAGATGGAGATACATGAATTTCAGCCAATCTGCGATTTGACAGCAAGACTAATGCTAAGGAAAAATGAACTTTTCAACACACAGACATGAAGCTAATGATGCTAACTATTAAATAAAGTTCTTTAGATGTACTGGTTTATGAACTGCTGGAAGATATGCCTCTCCATGGCAATCCTTGTGTTCATCCCGGAGAGTTCATTTCAATCACTTATCAATTTTTGCTATTCTAGAAATGCTACATATAAATGTTTTGAACTATGTTGCACAGGAGATGTATAATCTAATGAGAAGATGCAAAGAGTTGAGCCTAAAAAGAGATTCTCTCTCGGAGACAACGTTGATGAAGAAATAACAACTAATGGAATATTACTACAAGTGTGGTTTATCTCCATCGAGAAAATCAGTCAGTCATAAGGAATTCATGTTAGAGAGGAGCGTACTTGGCATAAGTTAAAGCGAAAGAATATTCAAATTGGAAGTTGAAAGTCGATAAGAAGAATGCTTTTAGCGTGTTGTTGAGATCTATGTAGCTGTAAATATCTTTGGATTTCAACCATCTGAAATTTTATTTGAACCAAAGTAAGAAGAATTTTGGGGTGGCTCCGAAGCCTTTCAAGTTTTATAACCACGGGATGGATAGCTACACATACAGACATTATTTAGTGGCTAGATTGGATAAATTAGCATTGCCAGTTTGGGTAATAAGAAACACTATCCATTTAGTATGTCTAATCAAAACACGTTGATTTTATTTTTATTTTAAAAAAAAAAGATCCTGAAAATTTTTTGTCAAAAAAAATTACAAATTATCATGTTTAGTGATTGTAGGGGAATACACCGATTATGTGCATATTATATTCACAAAAAATATACTGTTTCTGTTCACGAAATCAAAACAAGGTTTCGACTTACCAAAATGAAGTTTAAGAAACTAACCAATGATTATCGAATCTGATCATTTCCATTATTGAATTAAAACATGTGATTCTTCATATCGAACCTTGCATAAATCATATAAATAAAATTAATCATTTTTTAAAATCAAGTAGAAATGAAATCATAAAAAAGTAGATGTAAGTGATGCGATTGGCCGATGCGAGTATAACTCTTTTCTTAAGATGAATTTGCCCCGCATCGGTACTAATGATTTTTCGACAATCATCTCCCAAGATACAACGACCACGTCAAGCCATAGGAGCACTCCAAATGACTTCGACTAGCGAACTCGAACGGAATTCCCTCTCTACCAAGTAAATGCATGAAAATGCTATGGAATTAGAAATGAGAGAATTGTAAAAGGAGAATGAATGCTCAATGCAATTGGTGTACCCAAAATCATGTTCATAGGGTCCTATTTATAGATGTAGAAAGGGTGCAAATGAAGTAGTGTGGGCCAAAACATGCATCTTTTCGAAAAGTTGCAACACTTCGCCAAAACCTGTATCCTTTCGAAAAGTTGCAACACTTCATTTCTTCCAACTTTGGTTCGCAATTTCTCATTCAGTCGGAATTGGTTTCGAGATTCCAAATATGCCACGACGATCCACTTGACGAGTAGAATAAGTTGGTCTATTTACTTTCGTAATTTGACCATCGGATCAAGTCCGAATATTTGGTCGAAATTGACACGTAGTCACACCTTTTCATTTTCCACTTTTACACACCTTTTCATTTTTCAATTTTTGGTTAATTATTTGAACCAATTCCAACAATCCCCCACATGAATGGAAATTCGAGTATGCAAATGTAATGCTATGATGTGATGCAAGTAGAGAGAGAGCGGAAAGCCACTGTATCGAGGATAGTAGCTTGTGGCCTTGAACCTCCCGTAGTAAAATACCATCAGACTTACTCGGCTAATTGGTGAACGTGATGTCTTGAACCATTCAACCTTTATTGTAAGCTAAGACAACGATACTCACACAATGTTTTCCCTAAACCGTTCATAGTTCTCATGACTTGGTTCATTTTGGCCCTGAGCCCTTCTTGGTTCTGCGAGTGTTTAAAGAATTCAAGTCTTGAATAATTCTCATTGAAGTGGCCCCACTTCACACTCACATAGGTGACCTCCTATTAAGAGTATTCTGCCCTACTCCACTTGACTTAATCAAGATATTGGAATCACTAAAAGATTATCTTAACCTCTTACAAGTCTGCAGAAAGCACTTTAATATCATAGAAATGAGTTAGGAAACGATTTTCCTTGGTGCTTCATGGAATCCTCATAACTTAGTTGTCCCTTTGAACCAAGATCTTGGGATCTCCAGTCAACAAGGTATGGTTACCATTACAAGGACTCTAACGTGGTAGGCTTTACCTCATTCCCTTCGATATGCAGTATTCTTGATCTCTCTTAGTCAATCTCTTTAAAGGTACCACGAGTTTACGTTACTGAGATCAACTGCTTAATGGTATTATATCTAGACTTATACGTCTAGACCTACTATTACACGTGACTTAGTATCTTATCAATTATTGCTAGCAAACGATCAATTTCATTTAATAGATACAAATTGTCACCACCAAGAAATCCTTCCATGAAACTACATGCTTCTTGTTAGCTTTATCTAAAACTTTATTAAATCCAAACAAGATTGAATGATTTCTATTTAATTATTACACTAGTCAACCATGTTTATAAGTAGATTTTAGAATTATGGGTATTCAATATTATCATTGAAACATTACCATGCATTTGAACTATATGAATATTCTTCATATATTTCAATTGTTCTTGCATGTCCAATCAACCGTCACAATTGGCTTCTACCCACTTAATCCACTTTAGACTTAGTGTATATCATCCTTATAATTAGTATAAGGATTTTATATCTTTTCACCTTCATAGATAGCTTTCTACGATTATAAAATAAAAGCAAATGTAACTGTTAAACTGAGTTACCCCCACAATTCCTCAATTAGAAATACATATATAATCTAGTAATGTTGCATCCACAAGTTTTGAACTTTCCATTTCAAGTTCACAAGCATTAAGTTTAACCCCCCACATTCTTAGGTTATACTTGAACTTAGAGTTCATCAACTCTTTCATAGTTCAATTCATTTATCTCTTAGATAATATCCGTATCGAGTATTTCGTGAAAGTCTAAGTACTTTCAAAATATTGCTCGTCGACTCACAGTTTATTTTAATCCAATTATTTTAATTTGATCATCCAAATTAAATCAAGGCATCATATGAACCAGCAATGCTTTCCAAGCATAAACCAATTTAATTGGTCTCACGATTGAAGTCAATTTCAACATTAAAGAGGGCAAAGCATCTTGATTCACAAGAATTGCAACTTCTCCAAACATACGTAACTTATCACATTTGTGACATTTCACATGATAGTTTCATTTCATGTCAAATAATAAGGTACATATTCACCTCATTTACTATATTCAAACTTGAACAAACGAATCAACCATAGGTTGAAAAGTTGTGTTCTCAAAAGACACAATCCTATAAAAGGACACATTTCTTGGATTAATCTATATGAAGAGACGTACACATTGGAAAATAATTATATCAAAAATCATGATTTTTCATATGAAATGACACACATTTTCATCTAAATTGATCCTAGAATATTTCATAATATTCTACATGATTTTCCACCAATTCCAAGTGATCAAATTAGGACAAATTACATTTTGTCATATTCTTATGCAAATACAAATCATCCCATCACATTAAAACTTTTTCAGATTTAAAGGAAGTTCAGCATCATTGCCAACTTTAGGCACAGTTTGTGTTCTGCAAAGCACTTTCATGTCTTAATATTTTCGTAACAATTTTCACTAGAACAAATCACAATTTGTCATACTTTATGCAAATATAACTGGCATAAAAGTCATCCCACTTTATCTCATAGGATTAAATGAGGCTATCAATATTAATCAAAGTTAGCATCATCACATTAAAACTTTTTCAGATTTAAAGGAAGTTCAGCATCATTGCCAACTTTAGGCACAGTTTGTGTTCTGCAAAGCACTTTCATGTCTTAATATTTTCGTAACAATTTTCACTAGAACAAATCACAATTTGTCATACTTTATGCAAATATAACTGGCATAAAAGTCATCCCACTTTATCTCATAGGATTAAATGAGGCTATCAATATTAATCAAAGTTAGCATAATTTCAATAAGATATGAAAACTTAACCAACTAATTTACCATGCCATTATCATAATCCAATCAAATAAATCGTCATGAAAGTTCATAAACTTTATCAAATAATTGGCATCCTTATATGTCCAATGGTTAGAAATAATTTCCTTATTTCCATCCATTCATTATTAGACTCGAGTTGGTTTTAACAATATCCAATTCATCATGAACAAAGTGTAGGAATAGCAACATATATTCCAAATATTTATACATTCATTTGTATAAGTTTATTCTATAAAATGTCTCATAGAGGAGGTCCACGCATTTTCATATTTTATTGTCATCTAATAAACTGCTTTTAAAACCCCATTCACTTGTTCAAAAATAAACCATCTTGGAAAGAAACGTACTGGTTCAGTAGCCATGCATTAACAATTGCAATCAAATATCATATTCTAAATGAATGGACGGCATATAATAGTTGGTTACTTTTAATTGAGACAGTTACAACATGATTAAATTCACAATTGCACAAGTAATTAATTACTAAATAAATTGAAGCAACCCTTCATGTAATTTATTTAATATCATCAAACAAGTAACTTATTCATTAAATATGCATCTTTTTATGTAAGCACTCGTTCGTATGCAAGACAATTTTATTTGGTAACACAACTTATGGTAAAAGACCAATTCATGCCATTTCAGAAATGTGGAAAGATATATCCTTCAACAACATGCATATTTTATTTAATTCGTTAGAATATATTAAGACATTCTGGCTCCAATTATTTTTGCACGAATTCTGTTTC